CTGAGTGAAATATGAGGCAGGCAGTAAAACCCAATTGGACATTATAGGTATGTTAGACGCGTCTATGACCTTTACTTTGAGGATGTTTAAGACTTGGGTTTGGTTTTGTTTGCTTTGGTAACCTACAAACCTCTCAGGAGGTCTTGGCTAAGTAAGGAAGGCTACGCAAAGGACAATAATAAATCCGAGTCATCAAAAAACAGTTGAGGTCAAGGGGTTAGGAAAATTCCAGAAATTTCAGCTTCACTAATGGCCCTGAGGCTTAATTGGACGTGTTTTGTCTTTTAAGGTGAGTGGTCGGCTCGCTCCCACTGAGGTCATTACTTTCATGGGCGCATGAATTCTAATACCTCCAACTCACTCCGTCGCCACACCGGCTTTCCTACAGGCCTAATGAAATCATGGCCGGTATGAACTATGGACATTTTTCTGTCGGTGATTAAAACACAGCATCAGCTAAGCCTGACTGATCAGAGGGCCGCACGCCCCGCCTCTGGGAGCTGATAGGAAACAAGGGTGGCCCAACAATGAATTCTTTTATGTGCGTTTTAAGCTAATTCAGAAAATTTCTACTATTATGCGAGTTAACAAGCTTCAGGCTCAGGGGAGGGTTTTCAAAGAGCTGGTGAGAGTAGCTGAGTTAAGAAATGATAGGGGGGAAATAGAGGGGACCATGCAGGCAGCTAATTAACATCTCGTAAGACCTTTCACCAAAGCAGCTGGTCTCATCGCATGTTGAGGAGATTCACAGAATTTGGCAATTTGAAAGGGTCTTTAGAGAGGAACTAGTTCAACCCCCTCATTTTATGGATGGGAAAACTGAGACCCAGCTAATTGCCCCAAGTCACACCGTGGGTTAACCACACCGCGTCTGTTCTGGCTGCCGGTCCACAGTCGCGAAACTGCCTTCTAAAATGGCCAACGAAAGACTAGCATTAGACAACTTTTCTATTTCCTTACGCTGTCTTTTAATACGCAAAACCTCCGGCAAAGCCGATGAAGGCGATTTATTTCACACTAACATTTCTCCAGAGCTAGTACCCCACTTTTGTCGAGTCGTTTAGCAATGTATTTCACATAGCAGATCGGTTTGGATTGTCTGGTTTAATGCTGGATCTTTTTAAAACAAATGGTCCCTCACAAAACGCAGACCCTCTTTGGGTAGAGGTCTTTCTGTAGTACTCCCCAAACGCAATTATGTCCCACTTCTAGGACAACTATTCCCTTTCTCTTCACTGAGCAATTCTTTCCAAGCCCCCTGAATACAAGTATGGAGCAGCTGATTAGCATATTTATGAGACAACGAATTCAGCTATGTTAATTAGCAGCTCGACTTTAAATTAAAAAAATATCCCAGAACTGGCCAAGAGGGGGAGCAGCTGGCTCTTATCGCTGCTCCAAATCCTGAAGCCTGGGATGGTAGATCTCTGGTATTGAACATCCTAGGGGCAAGGGTGGATAAATATTAGTCTAGAGAAATAAAGAGCTGAGTTTTTAAATTCAGAAGAGATTTTAAACATGTGAAACCTGAGGGGTGTGTGTGTGTGTGTGTGTGTGTACACACAAGTGCATGTTCATGCATACCTGCATGCATGTGTGCGTATGTGAGTGCCATAAACAAAGACTAGTTCAGACTTTGCCCGGGTCTACACACACACAGAGCATGCCTTAGTAGGTTTATAACTTAAAAACTGGGTCACAGAGTGTACCGTGTCTTGAGCTATACAAACAATAAAAATATATATACAAGGAGAACAAAAGGGGCCCTTGGGTTGGCAAGTACTATATTACATACACTTTGATATCAATACCAATAAGAGGCACTTGAAGATACGAGAACTAGAGAAAAGGGATTTGCTGCCTAAATTTGATGGTTTCTACATGCTGGGCTTCTTCTGTGAGACTTTCAGTTTAGAGTCATGGCCCCTGCCTTAGAAAGAACTGGAATCTCATAGACATGAGTAAAGTTTTGATGACAGAAGGAGGGGCCGGGACTCAGGGTCACCACTTTGGATATAGACTCTATGCTTGGAGAAGGTCAAAGAAGCCCCTTTGAAGTTGTGACCAAGTATGCTTCCACATGTCCTTCCGTTGGTCCTCAAACGCCTTGATGCCCCATCTTGTTTCCAAGGCTGCCATCTGGTATCACATCAGTGGGCTTTTATAAGAGCTTGACCAGTTCTTTAATAAACCACCTACTGTTGGATTTCTGAGAGTCAAGAAATGCCAGATATTAGGGGGGCAACCCCTAATTGCTAACAAGTCAATTCCGACTCACAGTGACACTGCAGGAGAACTGCCCCTGGGAGTTTTCAAGGCTGTAACTCTTTCTAGGAGGAGAAAGACGTGCCTTAAGGCACAGTGAAACCGTAAGTAGGAATGGAACGTACAGGACAGACATGAGGATGTTAGCACAATGCAAAAGATGTGGCCAATGAAGCTTCCTTGTGTAGTACCTGGTGAATAAGAACTGTTTTGTTGTGTGAACCTTGACCAAAACCAGAATTAGATATTTCAGAAAGGAAGGATGGAAGGCCCCATAGCATTTCAGTCTATATATCCCTGGATATTTAGTTATCCGAGTAGTGTCCACATGTCCTAATCATGACCCTCAAGAGTCCATCAATGAACACATTACCCACATTTGATGATCCATGTTTGCCAAGTACCAGTCAACTCGAGTTTTACAAGACAAATGATTTCATCACCTCAGGAAATGAACCTTGGCGTGACATATGCAGTGCGCACTAGCTCTGTTCCCATCTCCAGACCCACGGCGTTCAATCTATGCCCACCACCTTTATTGTCATGTCACATGCTAAGGCGAACTCAGAAGAAACCAGCGTTTCAGATTCGTTTCTCCAGAAGAGTTGAGAAACAGAGAAAGCCGCTGTGTGGACACACGTATTGAATGTGAAGCCTGGTAGGGAAGGGCAAGAGCAACTCTTTCTTTCTGTCCTTTGTGTAAAACATGTGTTAACACTTACTGATAAACATTTCTCTGTATGGCTTTTCAAAAATTACGTGCTGGAATCAAAGAGTACCGCTATAAAACCATGAGGATCGAGAAGGGGAAAGAAGAGTAAACCCAGCCAGCCCAAAGGCATGAATGTTAGTGGCAGGGATGGGGGGGCATCCCAGGAAGAAACATATTTGTTAAGAAAGGGGGCGACTTGGAGGCGATGGCCTTACAACTTGGAATCAGCTTGCTTTGAATGCGGCAGTGCTGCCAACAGAGGAGCCATTTCTGACAACTGGCTTGGCTTTCCCTCCCGGGCTCTAAATTCCACTGTGGTTTAAGGGCCATAGCGCCCTTTCTGGGCTCAGTCTCATCTACATCCCATTAGGAAGCCAAGTGATTAAGCAACCACATAGCAATTTCTCTATCTTGTCCGTTTGGTGATCTAAAAGTATTGTCTAGAAAAGGGAAATGTCAGGGTCACTGCATATGCTTCTTTTAAATAGTCATAATTGATTTTGCGATCAAAAGAATCAAAGGTGGTTTAATGAGGTATGATGCCAAGTAAACCCATTCTCACATGGCATTTAGATAGGGCTGATGACTTTAAAAAAAACAATTATAGTGTGAGAGAAAGAGGAACGGGGTATAAAAGAGGGTATATCTGTGAGGGGGTGTCAGAAAGTTCGTGGAAAAGGGGAAGTAAATATTACTTTTTTCCACCCACTTGGTGAGTCGCCTCATAGATAGATACATTGATGGCTTCCATCCCAGAAAAAGAAAATGAAAACTAAAACAGGTTTTTCAGATAAGAATATTTGGGGAAAAAATTACTAAGATAAACGGGACACTACATAGACAATGTTTTAGACACACGAGTTCCATTACAGATAGAATTTTGCTTTGTGGTCTAGCCTCGGAACCTACCAACACTTACTCAATATTGGTTACGAATTTCAAATAACGGAGCTCAAAGCCAACTTTTGAATCACAACCTGTTCTTTAGCGAGGGACTGCCTTATCAGTTCTCTCAAATCTAATCTGGTCTAACTTCTCACCATGGTAACGAGCCCTTCGCAGAAATACTCACAGACATTTCACATCTTGAAAATTTGCCTCGTGCTTCTTCACCGCACATAATGTCAAGAAAAGCATGCTTCAAAGGTACTATGTAATTAGAATGGCCTTTTAAAACGGGCACAAAGGAAATCATTCCTATTAAAATTAAATCTACTTCATAACACTCTTCAAACTGAGTGAACAGAGGCTCCTGTGGTGCTTTAGATCCCGTACTCTTATTTTGTTGTTGTTGAAAGTCTGTTAGTTGTAACATTGCTTCCAAAATGAGTGGGGAAAGCACCTCTCATTTGGCTCACATTGGCTATTTATGCGATGTGAAAAAGGAAGTATACCTGAGGGGTGCCATGCTTGGCACACGGGACTATAAGGAGTGTGCCTTGGATCGCTGGGGCAGAGCCTCAGCTAAACAGGGACACTCTGCTGCCCGAAGCCGACTCTCGGGACTTTGGACAACCTCTAGGCTGCAGCTGAGCTTGAATCCTGTCTCTGATCTGCAGAGCTTCAAGGAATTCGAGTTGTCTTCGGGGGATCCATTTGGAAACTTAATTTGAAGCCCAGCATCTGCAGAATCTCTCTGGCTATTTTGACTAAGCCAGCTTTCAGATGTCTGCTTTTTATTACAATGATTGTTTTAAGTGACTTGCGTCAACAACACTAGTCTGATCACTCCCCCCCCCCAAATAAATAAAAGCATTGAAATGAAATGACTTTAATCTATTTGTTGGCTCCCTGTGACCGTATTGCCATAATGTCTACCATACAGATTCTGGTGCATCCAGAGCGTTCTGGCACTAAGGCCGCAATCAGCAAGGGGAAAAGTCCCAAACACGGAGTTCTGGACAAGCCACTGTGCAAATATACCTGGGGAAGAGTCTGCGGGTCCTTCAAAAGGACCTGAATAAAGGTTAACTCCAACGCAAATAGGGGTAGGGCTAGCATGGGCCAAGGTTGCAATGCTCACCATCAAACTTCTTGTAGCGGGAAGCAAAGATGGCTTGCAAATGATTACACTGTTCGCTGACCACACTTTTGAAGTCCTCTTTACTTTGCAGGCTGTACTTCTCCTCCATCTCCTGGGAGCAGCAGGTATAACCCTGGGGACAAATCTTCAAATGATCACCTGGAAGATATAAAAAAAAGAAAAAGCAAAAACTGGTGAGACCAGTTTCATCATCATTCAGCAAGTCGACGAGGGAAGGTTAGCATTCGGGTGCACAGGTGCTACTTCACTTCAGGATCCGAACCCTAAGAAATAGTTGCTGTCAGAGAAACACCACGTAAGCCCCTTCGAAAGGACAAAAAGCTTAGCCATCAGGGAAGAGAGCTACCCAAACAGGCTGACGGGGGTAGCCAAGAAATAAGAGGCTCAGTCAACCCAAGTCCCTGTTTATAAATCCTAAATATTCAGTATAAATCGACGAAACAAGGCAGGTTGTCTTTAAGGTTTAGAAGCATGTATTCCAGGAGGGGGTCCCCTTAATGAAGAGTGATTTATGAACTATATAATAATCGCCGAAGACTGAGCAAACAAGGAAATCGTTAAGCTGTGGGGATGCCATGGGCTAAGCGGATTTTAAAGCCTTGGGGGTATGTGCTGGACAATTGGATGGAGTCTATGATCATTCATAAAAGGATGATTAGTTAAGTGACCTTCAATTCTTAGATCTTCTAATCCAGACACATTGGTACAGCTATCAGAGATTAGCACCCATTGGCTCTGTGACTCGATTCTCAATTTAGTGACCCTACAGCACAGAATATTTGGATGTGTTGTCCGAAGAGGCCACATCCTGGAGAAGGACACCATGTTTGGGGACGTGAAGGGGTAGGAGCGACATGGGGTGACCCAGCGGCTGCAGCCATGAACTCAAGCATAACAAGTTGGGAGGACAGGGCAAGCGATTTGTTCTGCTGTATACAAGGTCATTATGAGTCGGAACCAACTCAAAGCCATAGGACAGAGGGCGACCACGGCTGGACATCTTTACAAGAAGTAGACTGTCACATCTTTGTCCCACATTAGTGTCTATTAATGCCTTCTCATTGTGTAGCGTATCACCACCTCCTACTATAGGTTAATGACTTCTAGCACATATAATCTCTGTGTAATAACGTAGGAAAAGACCTGTCGCCCCACTACAGCCACATGCACCAAGTCTTTCCCTCCCCAACCCCAGCCATTTTCCTTGCAGTCTAGAGGCCATCGTCGATAGGGTTTCTCAGACTTCCTCCGCCCGCCCCCCCCCCCACCTTGAATATCTCCCCTACTACCTGTCACAGATGAAAATTCATGCTTTGCAGGATCCTCCATCTTTTTTCACAATGACTAAGAGCTGCCACTGAAAAATAAACCCCACTGGGCACCATCACTGTAGTCCCTCCAATATTAATTGGTGTGGAATTCCAGCTAACACCTATGTGTCAGTTGGACGCACTGGGGTGGCTTGCCGGTTGCTGTGATGCTGGAAGCTATGGCCCCAGTATTTCAAATACCAGCAGGGTCCCACAGGGGGGACAGATTTCGGCAGGACTTCCAGACCAAGACAGAGCAGGAAGATGCTCTGGATCAAAAACTATTGTCTGCCATAGTGCTGGACGATGAGGCCACTACGTTGAAAGGTACTACATACGAGCCCCATAACGGCCTCGCAGACACCAGCGATCACGAAGATGTCAAAGGTCCAGGCAATGTGCCAATCTGTGTCAGAGGCGATTTGCCAGCAACTGACAAGGTACCCCAATCTCATTTTGTACAGATGTTTCCGCTCAACCCCCTGCTCCTTCTGCTGGTTCTGTCCACAGTCCACCTAAGATTAAAGGACTCGGAACAGAATCTGAACAGAATCAAGATGGCAACTCAGGAACGGGTATACTGAAGACATGGGAAATTGTCCATGGTACAATTGAGAGCAAATCCTTCGATGAAGATGAATCATGGGATATGAATGAGGCCATTACTGCTTCACGGTTTTGTGCGCTTACAGGAAACAAGCCTTCTCCTTAGATAGACACCAAAGTAGCTGGGGTTGGGCCTGGGAGTGAAGAGAGGAGGCGGCGGAGGATCCGAGATCAAATTGAATAGGTAATTGATTTGACCCACACTAGATGGTCAACGGCACATATGCAATGAATTACACAGTCATCCACGTCCCCCATCCTTCTTCCTCCCTGGCAATTAAAAAGGCGGAGAGTGTTACTGCCAGGCGACAAGGGGTATGTGGCTTGGAAGGACTGTACAAGGAGGAGGGAAATGAATCTCTAAATAACCTCCTTGTCCCAAAACTGCTCAACGTTTCTCTTGCCATTCCTGAAGCCTGTGGTCAGTGGATAATGCTACTAAGAGGGGGAAAAAAAACCAACCAGAAAAAGATGGTGTAAATAGACACTAGGGCTGTGAGGTTGCAAACTATCTATCTCAGGTCTCATTAGTGAAAGGAGAAGGCTCGGTTTTATGGAAACACCTTTGTTGCGACCAAAATCAGAACTCCCTCGTCATTGGCTTAACCAGTTCGCAGCAGCAGGCCTTTGGTATTGGGACATATAATGAACTGAGAGTGAGTCCGTTGTCTCCTGGTTTCAGGGTTGAGGACTACCCCAGCCTGCGTGCGCACAGTGGGGGGCTGCATGAAGTAACACCCGGCGCACTCACATCCCACGTGGAAAATTAATTGGACTGGTCTGAGTAAGAACTTCCCGCAGGCCTAGTTAAGGGAAGAACTCAGTAATAAGGGACCAGCCCCTTTGGAAAGATTGTCATGAGCGATGGTTCAGGAAGGCTGGTTTTGATACCCTTGCAAAGATCCTTTGTGGCACGCACTGAAGCAAAACGGTTCATGAGTTTGGGAAACAATTTTCATTAGGTACACACACACATAATAAATAACTTATAGGGGCACTTAGGAGCCTAAGTCTTAAAAAAAATCCCTTTCTTTCGGCCCCAGACTAGTTCATTCGGGTTTGCCTCCCTGCTGAGAATTTCCCTTTCCAGCCAGAATCACTGACTCGGAATCTACATTCTCATATGATCCCCATCTATATGAATCTATAAGAGCAATAAAGATCTCTAAGAATTAGCTGGGGATCTTGTTAAAATACAGATGCTTAGCCGGGAGTAGAACTAGAAATAAACAGTTGTAAGCCCACAAAGTAGAAAATTGTAATGACTGACTGAGTTAAGGGTGGACTGATGACCACAAGGTCAACGGCTCAAAACCCATCAGCCAATCTGAGAATGAACGATGAGGCACCCTCTCCCAGCGCGGAAACCTTAGACAGGTTTCTCCAGGGCTCTATGAGTCACGTGGACTGCATGGCACAGTGGGTAAAAGACAGCAGGAGAGAGTCCTTTTCTCCATTAAGAAGTTTTTGAGACGTTGATGGATTTATACATACCCACAGGAATTTTACATCAAGGTTACACCCTTCAAAGGGGCAGCAGCAACAAAAGTTCTGCTGGTAACCTGCCGAAAGTAGACAACACTGTTTACACTGGCACACAGAGAAGGCCCAAGGTGGCTTGTGCACTCCACCCGATCCTGCCCGCCAGGAGCCTTGCGCAGGACTTTAAGGAGACCTGCTTATACTTGAAGACTGGAGTGCAGCTTTGTTTTGGCAATACCTAATAGGCAGAGGGAGCCCAGCCTACTTTCATCTTAGAGGGAGATATTGCCAGAAAGATTGTCAGATGGTGGAAGACTTGCCTTGTGTAAAAAGTGAGACCAAGGCGGGGAGGGGGAGACCAAATTCCAAAAACCCACCAAACTCACTGTCATTGCGTTGATGCGGACGGGGTGGAAATGCTCCTGTGGCCCTCTGAGACCTTCAACCTCTATGAGAGCAGAAAGCTTCACCTTTCTCCCACAGCGCAGCTGATGATGGCTTTGAACCACCCAAAGCATCACCCACTGCTCCTTCGGAGCACCTTGTACATTGGGTACCACTCACTCATTCACTCACTTCCATCAAGTCAGTGCCGACGCACAGTGGCCCTACAGGACAGAGGAGATCGGCCCCGTGCGTTCCCAGACTACCTATGGGAATAGAAAGGCCCATCATTTTCCTGCAGAGCCGCCGGTGGTTTCAAGCCCAACTCTAAACCACTGCACCACCTGGTCTCCTGTGCATAAAAGATTAATACTCGCTAACATTGCTGCTGGCAAAGTGGCCCTCCCCTCAATGCAAACAACCCAACATGCCCATTGCCGGCTACAACATCCTGAACGCACAGCTATTCTGTGGGCAGTACTGCCCCAAAGGCCTCCGTTATCTTTGTGAAAAGTCATGCCTGAGACCCAAGTAGCCCAGACTCCCTTGGGAACTCAGCCCCCAGACAACCACAGCCAAGTGGGGAGTCTATGCCATGACTAGTTTCTTCCCATGAACAAGACCAGGAGGAAAAACTTGGGACTCCTGGTGCAACTCATTCAATTTTTTTCGAACTTGAAAAACCTCAACTGTCAGCACAGGAAATGGCTGGTTTTCAAAACTGCCACATCCTAGTTCTTTGCTAGGCACCCTGCTTCGCGTCTCGGTGCCTGCTTCTAATAGGGTGTGCCTGGCCCAGAAATGCCTTTTTCTTTCTGCAGGAAGTCACCTCTCCAAACGTGGTGAAGCTGCTCCCTTCGCTGTTCCAAAGCATGCCACGATCGTCTTGTCTCTAGATCGAGTGCAGCATGGGGGCAACTACAGAGGGCGCATTGGGCCCTATTCTTTTCTTTTAAAGCCTTAGGTGATTCTGATACACGCCCTTTGTTAGCAATCCTTGCCCTATACTCCCAGAAAGTAGATTCGAGGCTACGAGGGGGAGGGGGTGGAAAGAGATGGGTAGCCTTGCTTAATAGCTGTTTAGGGAGATGTCAAGTGTTCCAAGTTGCACCACCTTGTGACTCGAACCAACTGCACTGGAAGGGACACTTAAAAGCAGTACAAATGGAAATGTTTGCGAGCTACAATATTTTCCACATATAACAAACACGTAGGCGTACACCGGGCCTGTACTCCAATAACGTGCACAGCGAACTTAGTAGATCGACACAGGAAGGTTTGCAAAAAACTGTAGTACACTCGTTATTTGTGTGCTTGTCTTGAATGAAAAGAGAAGACAAACAAGGCCACAGCACT